TGGAATTGTAACATTGAGAGCAAATGCATGATGTTGAGCTGCCAAAGGCCAAAGCTCAACCGGCAAACCACTTTGAAACAGATTTGCTCTTGCTCCCTCCAGAATTGTACGAATCTCGCGCTCGATCACCCCGGAAGATTGACTGACATATGGCTGGCTCAGCACGTGTCTCCAACCCATACTCTTTACTGCAGCTGCAATCTCGCCAGAATTGTCAGAATAGAAAATCCCAACATGATCATCTGGCTTCGTGAAATGTTGAAATGCACGAACGCAACTGTCAGCATCTTGCCTTGCTGAAGGGTAAAAATACCGGAACTGCGTGAACACATCTTTCACGACCAAAGCATTCCACTCGCCCTTGAACCCATACGTCTCATCATTTGAAATGACGTGGTCAGCAGTCACATGATCTCCAAATGCTTTTGCATCCACCGAAGAAGATCCATGTCTGCGACGAGCCTGAGGTGCTTGCATCTTTGATCGCACACACGTTTCGCAAAAGGGATTCTTGGGCCTGTGAGTGAAAAGATGCTCTTCACTTTTGGCCTCACGCATCATCATTTCTTTTGAACGCTTTGACATCGGTTTTGGAGCTTTCGCAACCTCAGGGTTGTCCTCCAATTCCGGATCAAACTCCGGTTCCAGCGGTTCAGCTTCATCAGGGCGCAATGGAAACGATGCAGCATCCGGCGGAGGTTGCCCTCCGCTTGAAGATGAAGGCACTTCAACGCCCCCGATCTTCTGATCGGATGCAGCAAGAGCAACAGGCATAGCTGATTCAGAAGCTATGACCTCGCACTGATCGTCAACATATGGAACTCGCCCATCGAGCTTCAATATTACCGCTTTCCCGTCAGGTCGCACAAAGTACGGAGCACTGTTCTTTCTCCATACGAAATCGTACCCCTTTTCCAAACATCTTTGACCAACAGAAAGTACAGCTGGTGTGCTCGGCAAAACATACGGAGTGACGACCTCGTTCAACTGATCAATGGAGAAGTCCGCAATCTTGTCTGCACAAATTGATCCATTTGCTGTTGAAAGATTGATTGGAGTCAATGCAGGATTTATCTTCTTTTGAAGTGTAACTGCACGCTCAGAGTCAACCAGATCTTGTTCACTACCTGTGTCGACAATCCACTGACGAAGCCCTGCTGGTGCTGGCGTAGCAATGTACTCCGGCACATCGTCAAGGTTCGTTTCATCATCATCAATCCAACAGCCAGGACAATATAAACCGCAATAAATTGGGTCATTGTCATCATAGTATTCGCAATAGAACCCACCGCGTTGTAGTTTGCATGCATCAGTCAACAACCCCTTCCAGAATCAAAGCTTTGTCTTTAGCATCGATCAGATCCTTGGGATTTGAGCCAGGCGCACAACCATCATACCACACAACCTCAGGGTCATTCGGCTTTGGAGCACATGATAGGCATAGCCCATTGGCCTCGATCTCGACGATCTCGACATTGTCTGCGAATTTGACGCATCTGCGGGTATTGGAAACATCTGTACTGCAAATGAAAATTGTTTGCCCAGTCCAGTATTGCTCCAAACCTTCATCAGGATCCGCCCAGAAATCACCAAATACTTGCTCTTTGCCATTGATGTTGGCTTTGGTGATGCGCTGATCCAATAAACGTTCCAGCGAAATCGGAAGGTCTTTTGCACTCTTCGGATCATAAAGCGCTTTTCGAGGCATCACATGGTGTCGAATAACCATCTCGTTCACCGAGTCAACTTCCCAGAAATCTTGCTTTGGGCGGCATGCTGCGAGGCATGCATTGGTCTCTTTCACCCTCAGACACACAGCGGCTGAGGACTCGCCCTTTTTGCTCTGAGATCGCTTCCTCCCTTTTCCCTTTGGGGTGGGAGACCTACCTCTGCTGGCTCCTTTCTTTGGGCTCGGCTTATCTGTTGCTGGTGCAGCAGACCGAGTCTCATGCGAAAACGCACAGTTGTCTCCACGAGTGCATTTCCCCTGACCGCCTTTGAAAAACCTGCAGGGGATCTTCTTCAGCTCCGCTCTCTTTCTCGATGCCGACCGATCCCTGTCTCTCGCTTGGCTGTCAGAGCGCCCCCGACCTTTTCCTTTCGGATTTTGGCTCGGGGGTCTTGGATCTTTCTCATGCTTGTAAATGCAATTATCCCGAGTGCACTTGCCTTTCTGAAAATCATAGCAATACCTGACCGCTGAAGGATCTCTTGCACGCCCAGGATTTGCATTGGGAGCTGGAGCACCGACCTTCTGATTGTGAGCTCGAGCAACACGATCACGATTTGACTGCAATCGCTCCCGAGTCAAAACATCACGAACGGCTTGAACAAGAAACTCGTAGCTCTTGTCATACGACCCATCTTTTGCACGCTCGTACGTATCGAGGTCATACTTGATCTTGTGACATCCACGAATCTGTCGCAAGAAAATGTCCTTCAAGACATGCTGCTCCGGAACGATCTTCATGCCAGCAATGACGGAATCCCAATTCTGAATAAAGGTCATCAAATCATTGCCATGAAGCACCACCTTCAACAAATCTTCAGTGGAATACAACGCTCCGGCCTCCTCATTTGTTCTGAAATACTGCTCAAACATGAGAAGAACTTGACGTCCACGGACAACTTTATCCAAAGCAGCTTGTTGCTCCTTGTAGGTGAGGATCTGCCGACTAAGGTCGCCCCTAGCAATCCGCGACAAGGCCGCAAGAAGCTTTGTATCCAACGTTTCAAACTGCTCTGGATCTCCAAGCTCCAACATGAGATTCTTCTTGTCCTCCCGGTTGACGTACACCTTGTTAACCCAGGTGAATGCAGCATCAGGCCGATCTGAAGCAGCCCGAATCTCTTCGCGAGTAGCCGTTTTCCAGGCTCTATAGGTCTCAGGAGTGGGAAACTCACTCAGCCTCAACGAATCAGCTTCCTTTGCTTTTGGCCGATCATGCTGATTCCGGACGAAGCCGAGGAGGGCCGCACGGAACTCCGCCTCGGTGGTCTCGGGACCAGTCAACCGATCAATGTTCGGCTGATTTGTCGACTGATTTTGCTGACTTCGGCTGTTCTCTTGCTCCGAAGACCGTCTCGCATGATCTTTGATATCAAACTGCATTGCACCAGAAATAGGATCAGTCCAACTCTGCTGTGGAATAATCTGTGGCATAGTTCCAGAAGTTTGTGCGTTCTGCGTTGGAAAAAGACGCGGATCATCAAAGATACTGCCCCTCTTATCCAAAAACGACTCTGAACTGACGTTCTGCACACTTGACGCAGGCTGAGGATCTCCGCGCACCATTTCACGCTGCGCCTTTTCGAGATCGTTCCTCAGACGCTCAACGGTGTCGTTCAGCCCGTTGATCGTGTCCTGCATGGCGTGGTTCTCCGCCAAAATACTGTCTCTCTGCTCACCGACCGCCTTCTCCGAATTCTCCATCACAACAGTTTCAGCATGTAAGCTTTGTGCGAAAGCGCTATACTGTGCCGTTCTTTGCGACACAGCTTCGTTCACTTCGGCAGAAATTGCTCCCCGCATCTGGCTAACCTGGGCGCTGAAGAAAGCGCGGGACTCTGCGAACTGCTCGTGCAGCTCAAGGGTCCGGCGATTGTTCTCCTCGTCCAGGCGATGCACAGTTTCCGCCAAATGAGCGCTATATTCCGCCCTTGCAGCATCCATAGCAACGCGATGTAACGTGTTGGCCTCTTCCCTAACAGCGTCACCCGTGTCGTTATGCACATGCATGATATTCTGGGTGGCTTGATAGTTTGTCGCGAATCCGAATACGTTTCGAGGATCACGAGGATCGACAGGACCATTGGGTGCAACTGCACCTTCACTACCGTCACCAACATCTCCAGATATATTGTAAATGGCAGGCATATCTCCGGATGCCATGGCGATCTTTGTGCAAGCCTTTACGGCTGATAACCTGTGTTATCAAGCCTAGGCCACCTAAGGTAATACCTAGGCAAGCAGCAAACCGTTGACTACTTTTCACACTGCTGATAGTGCTCTTGAAGTCTGTAGCGGCGGAGCATGTACAAGGTACACTCATGCACAGGGTTGGAACCTGAATCCACAGGTGGTGATTTTGTTTGAGGTGACTGTTCGCTTTACTGTCGGACTATACTTGGGCAGGTAAAATTCCCAAATGAGAGCCTTAGCCGTTTACTGCTGCTTGAAAGCTTAGCTGTACCTTAGATTTTTAAATTAAGCACTGGGACTCTAAAGGGTGTCATGGCAATACTAAATTTCGAAATGGGCGTACTAAGTACACCCTCTCTGAAGGGTAAGATTTGACAATACTACATTTAGAATTAGCAATGCTACAGTAACCACTGAGACTTGGAAGGGTAAGTCTTGGCGATACAAAGTGCTGAACTGGCAATACTGAAATAAGGACTGGGAATCAGAGCAAGGCTTGGCAATACTATTGGCAATACAAAGTCGAACCCAGACCCCCAATCCCCCAACATTACCAAGATTGCCCAACCAAAACCTCACTTCCTGAGTGGGTTGGCCAGAGAAGTCTAAACTTTCTATAAACCACTAAAATGGTCATACTGTGGATGGACAAAATCCACTTCGCACCCCTTTGAAACCATAGTTGAAACCCTTGTTTGCTGGCATTTCCGTTGGGAATCAAAACCAGGGTTTCTGAGCGGTGGTGCGAGACGGATATCGCAACCATCCACAGCATGAAACAAACTGCTACTACTAATTAAACTGGTCTTTTCAGAAGCGAGTCTTGTCTGTAGCAGGGGGCATGCAAATGGTCCAAACCAAAAAAGTGACGAAAGTGGGTGGCTCGAAATTTAGGGCAAACCGCAGGCTTTGGTCTTGTTTCCATTTACATTTTGGGTCCAAATCCAGGGGGCATGCTGATCATACAAAAAGTGACTACAGTCCAACTGGTAGTGCGAAACGGATGTCGCAACCACAGTACCAAACACCATAACACATAAATCCAACTCGGGGAGTGCGAAACCACGCGCCGCGGCGCCTGCAGCTCCGAGAAGAGGCCCAGGGCCCGTTGCCACTGCGAGGCTTTGCCGCAGGCCTTGAGGGTGATTTCTGTTGCAAGCATCAGGTGCATTTTCGGGGAACCCAACGGGGGCTGGGGATGGGTGGGACAAGGATGTCCTGTGGAATGTCCGGGCCGGCTTCTTGGATTGGAGCACCTTTCGAAGGCTTCTGCCTCCCTGATCTTGACAGTCAAGCCGAACACTGCTAGAGCAAAAGGCCTCCCCCCTTGTTACCTTACATCCGGGGAACCGCTGTTCCCCATAGTAATTAACTTTCATCTGTGTGAGGCTTGAAGCCCTACCAGCAGTTCATGTGGACCTGAGGTGCCGGCGCTGATGGCGGCGTTGTAGGTGATGCTTACCGGCTTCACCTGCGAGCATCGGGGAGGCTCCCATGTTCGGCTCCCTTGAAATAGGCCAGTGGTATTCCAGCAGGAAAGTGTTGACCTACAATCTACCGCATGGTAGGAACAAAAAACACAATCGCCCTGTTCCAAGGCAACCTCGCTTGTACACTATTTTTGTTTATGCCGCCATGTGTCTTCGTCTGTACCTATGTCTTTGTATATATATATATAAAAATACATAAATACTGTGTGTGTGTGTGTGCGTGTGCGGTATGTCTGCGCGACGTCTCTCTGTGTGTGTGTCTGTGTGTCTGTGTGTCTGTGTGTCTGTGTGTCTGTGTGTCTGTGTGTCTGTGTGTCTGTGTGTCTGTGTGTCTGTGTGTGTGTGTGTCTGTGCGTGTGCGGTGTGTCTGCGCGACGTCTCTCTCTCTCTCTCTCTCTCTCTCTGTCTGTGTGCCTGTGTGTGTGTCTGTGCGTCTGTGTGGGTGTGTGTGTGTGTGTGTCTGTCTGTGTGTCTGTGTCTGTGTCTGTGTCTGTGTCTCTGTGTCTGCGTCTCTGTGTCTGTGTGTCTGTGTCCTTGTGTCTATATAGTTATTATTTCTGTGGTGCGCGTCAGCTTATGTGTCTGCGTGGTGTGCGTATGTACTTGTCCGTGCGTCTCTCTGTGTGAAAACGCTTCGCAACTTGGCGGGGTGCGAGGATCTGAAAGTGTTAGCCCAAAACGCGTGGGCAGCAGGTCCAGCTACAACACCTTGCCAGATCCATCAGCTCCCTCGCCTGAGTCCCGCCATCCTGCAGGTCCTGCCAGTCTGAAACCTGTAGGTCTTTGATTGGAAGCATGTCTTGGGCGCTTTCCAACAGAAGCTCCAAAGGATCAACATGGTGCCATGAGGAACCCCTCTTAGATTACCTGGGTTTGGGGAACTCCTGCTTGAACGAGTTGCAAGGGAAATCCAAAAGGAAACCAACTGCCCAAACGGGGTACACTCAAACTTCCTAAGCAAGGCATGTTGTTTTTTCCACTGTCTGAAAGCGATTCCCAGGGCTCGGTGTTCTTTAATGGGTTGCCAATGGAGTCTGTGTTTGGGGATCCACCCTTTAGGGCACTAAAAGAGTGCTAACAAAGTGCGAAGTACGCACATCTAAACCATTTGACAGTGTCCGCTCTGTGTTGCATCATGTCTCAGGAAAATGGCACAACTGCCCACACTCTAAAGCTTGCAAGTCAGCGCTTTGCCACACGGTCCTGAAAGAAGGCGAGTGCCTCTTCCCAGCGCGAGCCTGACCGCCCACATCCCAAAACGAACACAGCCTCTGCTCCTGAGCATGGCAGGTCAATTCAATTGTTGTCGCATGATCCGCAGTGGCAAGCATTCAAGATCATTCAAGATGCACCAAGCAAAACGCAGGCATGACACACACACACACAAACACACGCAGCCCTTGGTTGACTGGACCAACTGTCATTCCCTGCCAAAGCAAAGGTGGCCTTTCTCGCACGCGCTGATCGTGGCCTGGGAATTGGCGGATCTGAGCGGGGCTTGCGCAAACAATCCAGGTGGACAAGACAAAAGAATGCCAGCTGGTATTTGTAACAGCAACCCCCGGAACCTTTCCTCAAGCCTAGCCCGCACCTGCTCCGAACCACTCCGGAGCCTATCTGGGTAGAGCCCATGTAGCCTCCAGCTGTTTGTGAGAAGCACAGATGTCCAACGGTTGCACATGTTCGCGCCGACCAGAGGCAGAAGTAACGAATCAGCACATCAAACTGACATTTAATATTTCGAAGAAGCCGGCGGGTTTCATCTCCAAAGGGACAACCGCGCACCCCTAGAGTAGGTACATGACGTATCATTCATAGCTATTTCACACCCAGTCGGCATAGACGGGTCATTTAGGGCACATGCCCATGCAGTCTGGGCGCTTGAACATCACGTGCTGCGGTCAACTGGGATTCTGGGACCATGGCATTGAACGCCGTGATGTCAGGCTTGTGCTCCTCAGCACGACGGAGCGCATCCGAGGCAGAATCCAGCATGTGAAGAAATAGGGAGGAAACCAAAGGCCCCCGCCCCCCGCTCAACGGGTTGTCAGAACCTGCAAAAAGAGATCTCCTGCAAGGGTTCTTTCTCGTGAAACCTTTCTGCGCAGTTTCCTTATTCCTCTCTTGAAGCAAGAAGTATGGACTCTTCCAGCAGGCGTCAAGTAGCCAATGACACAGTGTATGTTTATGTCTTTTTAGAAGAGCCCCAAACCTGTGGTGTTCCTTTTGGCTTCCCTTTAAACCCACCAAGCAGGCGGTATTAAAACAAAACCCAGGTGAGTACCGCAGCACGGGTATGGCGAGGAGCCCGGGGCTCTGCTCCCGTTTCATCATTGAGTCGAGCACCGAGTGTCTGAGCTCATCGAAGAGACGAATCGCCTCCTGCCAGCACACCCGAAAGATTTGGCTTCCTTGTTGCTTTCTAAACTCCTCCCAAACCTTCGTGGGAGCACAACCCGCTTTTTGTGTGGTAGAGTCAATTAGTTGTTTTGGTTTATAGGAATGAGCAAAAGCAAAGGCACCACTGGAGGTCAGGGACCTCAAAAAGGATACCCTCACGAACAAACATCACATGCTGTACTACGGTTGTGGGAACTGCGTTCCGCAGGAAGGCTTCCCGAACAGTGTCAGTGGCAGCTGGCAAATCCTGTCATGCACACAGCATGGCCAGCAACCAAATGCAAACCACACCCTAGTCGCCGAGTTCGAGTTTACATTTAGAAGACGACCAATTCCACCCTAGACAAAGGGATCGGAACAAACAACTCATGAGGCCCTGGTGCTTATTTCACCGGCTTGGAACTAGTTAACACATGATTTGTGAGTTCAGGAAAACTTCAAGTATGAGCTTTGCAGGTATGGATGAAGGTCAAAACCATGGGAAGCGTCCCAGAGTGCAAAGACAAACAGGCAAGGAAGCATGGAATGGGCAAGGAAGCCGCCCTCAAGGAGGTGATGCTCATGCCGTAAGAGCTCTTGGCCGGCCTCCAAAATGTTCACGTTACCCCCTTGCAACAGCTTGGCTCAAGCGTCTACAACTCCTCGGGAGTTAATAAAACAGCGTCCCGCGCAACGCCGTTCACTGACACCAGGGCTGGAACAAAATGCAAAAATGGGGACCCCTGGCAAAACAAACGGAAGGAACCAAGGGGGGTGCCCCAAAAGGAGATTGATTCATTGAATCATGAGCCGGGGTGCGCCCCACCCAAAAACAGTAGCTTTCCCTTGGCTCCCCCGCCGCCGAAAAACATGGCAGCCTTGGCCAACCCCCTGGCGCGCCTGCCACAGGTGACCCCGCTCGCAAGCAGAGATGGCCTGAGATGCCAGGACAGCGAGCATTTTGCAGCCGCCTCACGAAAGATTGGAAGACCGCCATCCTCTTTTCCAAGCCCCTTTGTCCACTTCCATGATTCTTGGAAAGATGGCACCCCGCAGATCAAGCCAACATCCGTTTGGGAGAGCATTGTCAGACTCCATGTTCATGTTCAGGAGGGGGACCGGTCCCCCAGCCCGAAGATCTCATGCTATGCCAGCAAAGCAGCGCCCCAAGTTGAGTTCTTGCAACATAATCTTTGAGGCGGGGTTCCTACGGTTCCATTTCAAAAAACACGACATTCCGCCTGACATTGGTCTGCCTCACGTACGAAACATATCATTCGAATTATATTGTGTGCCTAATTTGCTCTGCTTGACGTTGTTCTTTGCTGCTGGCACGACAGGCAAAAGGAAGAAGACTTGCTTTGGACAAAAAATCAGTCAAACAGGAAGTGTTGCCGAAATCTGTCCCCGTTCCCATTCGCCAGGTGCCCGGACGGCACTCACTGCGATGACCCCAGGATCAAATCGAGCTGATCGCATCCTGACTGCAAGTGAAATCTGACTTGGGCAAGGGTCGCCCCCCAATGCTGTCAAGTCCCGGGAGAAAACTATCAAACTTATTTTGGACCTTTGAAGCGGCCTTTTCGGGGGAGCGGGGCTATGCCTAGGCGCCAATCGCCAAGTCCTCCAAAATCGAAACCTAAGATTAAAGGCATTGAGGCTCCTGGCCTAAGACGGCAATTCCATCAGAACATGATGCCAACCATTAAACCAAGCATTGGGCGGGGCGTGGTCCCGACTGTTTGAGCCCAATTCCACGAAATCAGCTACCGGAAGGTCTACCGGATGTCATACAAACCCTTAGAAAATTGACCGTATTTGCCGATTTCCTGTAGGTTTCTTGACTTGCGAAGCTCTGCTCAGAGACTCTTCTCAAGGCCGCCGCTCTGACAGCAGCCGCAACGCCTTGGCCGACTCATTTCCCCCTCTGGACCAGCCAGAACCTTGGCTTTTGCTTCGTTTCACCCCCGTTTTCGCCCACCCCAGCTTTGATGGCCCCAGCTTTCTTGGCTGGCTGGAATTAGAACCCCAGCAAATAAAATGTGTTTGCCTGGTTAGTGGAAAACAAAGGGAACCCCAAGAAAGCTTCCTTCCCGGTGCCCGGTGCCCGCGCCAAACCCAAACCCAACGCCTTGATCGGCTCCTCTGCCTTGCCGCAGGCCTGGGGACGTGTCAACTGCACAAGGGCTGTTCAAAGTCCACGGTCAAAGCAAGACGTTCAAAGTCCACGGGGCGTTCTTTTCTTCTTTTTTGTATCCCTCCGAAGGACTCCACAGAAAAAACAAACGCCGAACCCCTTAGTCCGTGCAAGTCGAGGTTGCTTGATAGGAAAGCCGTTCAAGTCGAGGTTGCTCCGAAGGACTCTTAAAGAAAAATCAAGGGCCCATCCTCTTTTTGGCTTCCACAGAGAAAGGGCGCTTTACAGGAGATTCCTCTTACAATGGGCTGGTGGGGGTCCATGCGCATGAAACCGACGGTTTTTTGTTTGGTTGTCCGGGTGCCCTCCAGAAAGAACGCATCGGTACCATCCGAGGAAGGTGTCCCAATTCCCATCCGGCAAAGCCCAATTCCTAGAGACTCAGCTGCATACACCACCACAAGCCGCATTAGGATCCTACAAAGGGGCGCCAAACTTACAAACAATACACCGTCTAATTGGTGGTGACAAGGGAACGGTTGCCAAAGCCGGCCACACATATGCATCTATGCATTTAGATATGTATACACACACACACCCCACCACCACCACCACCCCACATGCACAAACATATGAACACAAACATATGTATCAGCATGTGTGTACATGCCAAGAGCTGCTTCATGTAAGTCGCCAGTGGAACGGAGCACAAACTAAATTCTACCCAACCAATGTGCCATGAACTCACTCTCCACCGGACATGCTCAGTGGCGCTGAAGGCGTCCAAACATGCCGCATGCCGCATGCCCCGGAAGCAACAAATATTCACACTGGGGTTCAGACCACCATTTAAAACAATGGGGGTCCATATAACCCATTATTTACCTAAGGATTGGCATGATCCAAATAGGGTCCTTGCCAGTTTTTTTACTGCGGGGGCAAAACAAACCCAGGGTTCATGAGCAAACGGAACACATGGGCCATCGGGACGATCTACCGTTGTCTCGGGACAGCGCTGCGATCAGTGCGCCGTAGGTGACCACAGATGGCCTGGCCAGAAGCGCCAAACCCCCAGATCCTGAAAACCCCTTTTCACGAAGGAGAGACTTTGACTCATTGGGGCGCCACTTCCCCACAAATGTTCGAACCCCAAGAACCCCGTCAGGATCTGAGATGATGCTTGAAGGAGCACTGGCGCCCACAGAGCCCTTAGGATCTAAGAACCTTGGAGTTTAATACCGAGTGGGCGGGAGGACTCTGCCCAGCCTTGCTTGGAAAAGCGATTAGCTCCACACGTGATGCGGTTTCTCATGCGCTAGTCGGAATGCGTGTTGTTGGTCTAGCACTAAAATACGCTTGCCCCAATTTTAACCTGACTCAACATCATTCTGAAGAATATAGAGCAAAGTCAAGGAAGAGAGTGGTAGACAATCGGAAGGGCCAACTTGAAACTATTGACTCCTAGTCTGACTAATTCGTTATTGCCTACGTTGCCCATGTCTTGCATATGTTCCGAATAGAACAGGGTCACGCCGTGGTCTGCGTCACAACTGCCTGCATCACGAAATCATCCGGGTCAAATATAATGTTTCACCCGCATCCAACACAAACAAGGAGCACGCATCACAGGGCCTGATGTGAAATTGGCCCAGAATCATTTACCAGGGGTCGAGCACAGTTGAGAAACACAATTCGGCAAGACTCGCACCCCCCCGTACCCCAACTGAAAGCCAGAAAGAACTGTACCGGAAACTCTGCAGCCACTTCATGGCGAAACACAGCATGAGTCTACCCAAGTGTAGACTTTAGTAACGCCTTGAGGGTGTTGTCTTTTCGGCTTCGCCAGGTTCAAACACGGGACGTCGTTGGGATGCTTTGTGTGGGCGTTTCCTAGGACAGAGACACCCTCAAAGAAAGGTAACACATCCTTTCTTGGCGGTTATTGACACCTGCAAAAAGTATAAAGCTTTTGCAGGTCAGTGGGAAACGCTTCCCTTCTGCAACACATGCTCTAAGGTCCAAGCAACTAGCATTGACACAGTTGCCCTTCCTTGCAAGCCCATAAGTAGAAGTGCATGGGAGCATTTCCCACTTCAAACGCGGCACTTTCCCTCTTGCGGGTGGACAAGTTTTTAGGCCCAGGGCGTTAAAGACATCGTTGAGTCGGGATCCGCCTGAGCTTCTGCTTCTTCAAGCGCTGGAAGGTGGCCAGGGCATCTTGCCAGCGCCGGACCTCCAGGCGTGTCCCTAGGCAGCACCAAGAAGTGTGCCTTCAAAGAGAGGCTCCACCCAAATGGGCGCCAGTGGCCAAGATTTTACTTGGAGTCACCAGGGAATGATCACCGCTCATGTGTATTCAATTGCAACCACATGTTCTCCTTTGGGAACACCAAGGAAAACGGGATGATACCATGTCGAGACCTGGGCGTCATCATTTTCACACCCCTGTTGTCTGCTGAACATTGCGCCCGCGACACTAGTTGCGTTTGGAGATGGGTTCGTCTTTGTGTCACAAGAGCTGACCAACAAGCCACTTTTTTGGGCAAGCATGCCCCTGCTAACCACAGTTCCACAGTTCCAGTTGTCGGAGCCTCGTCCCCCAACTGCCACCCCTGCCTGCCCACAAAGGCTGATGTAGGTGTTGTACGTGACGGTGTTGGGCTGCAACTTGGCGAGGCCAAGCTGTCCGCGAACATTGCGGGCTGGGGTGGGTGACGGGCTTCGGATCCCTTCCTCTTCCACGTTCATGCGAGTTGCTGTGTGTGTGAGGAGTAACACGCAGGGATGCCGCTAATTCGACTTCCTCCTTCCACAGGTTGGGGGTGGGTTGGACCTCGGCGAATGGTAAAAACCCGCAACAAGTTGGCATCTGCCCGCAAGCCGGCCAACCCAAACACACATCGACCTCAACCCCAAGGGGCCCGGCGTCAGCATGACACCTCGGCAACATCCAGCTGCTTTTTGGTTGGTTCCTACTTACCATTGCTTACCACAAGCCGCAGCAAACAACACACAAAGGTGACCAAACACAACAACAACCACAACAACCACAACAGCAAAGGAGGCCGTGCAAATTGGGATCCAACGCGGGCACCCTCATCATTAGGACCACTGGTTGCGCCCTGTGGAGGGGGCAGGCCGATGCCACAAGAAGTAGGTGGCGGCATGGGAGACAAACAACTACAAGATGACAAAGATACCAAACCTGCTTTCTACGAAATGACCCAACCAAGCACAACCCCTCAACATGGCCCGCCCAAGAAAACAAGACGACATGCAACCTCTACAACATGAATGGATTTTGTAGTAACTCATTTTGTAGACCAAATTACAATCTCCCTACAAAATGGGTTGACTTGTGCGCCCGTTGTGAGGCCTGACCCCTCTTTCACGATTGAAAAAACGTTTATAGAGAGGTCAACCCCTCCCATTCTGTAGGGGAAATTTCAAGGGGGATCACCGAATGTCTAGCTCCGGGCTCCCTGAATGGCCTGGATGGGAATAAGAAGTGGGTTCTTTTGAAAAGCCCAAGGGTTATACGCCACCGTCTTCTTCACGCAGCTATTTCGCCCGAATGCAGTTCGAGCAGCGTAATGGATATTAAGTGTCAAGACAGCAGCCAAATCCGTGGTCGGGGTTTGGAGGGCGTCCCTGCAAATCTTGCAGTGAGGCGAAAAACGCGACAGCTCGCGCTAGTAAATGAAGAGAACCAAAGCACAAGTCCCATCTACTTGCTGGTTTCTGTTGAAAGGATTCTTTTGGGAATGAACCTGAGAAAAACCGTTCCTGAAGGCTAGTAAGCAATTCACCAAACTGAGCACCACGGCATCTCCAGCAAGTGGAGGCCCAAAGGCCATTGGTGACCTGGCGAAGAAACTCCCAAACGCCTAGACTGCAAAACAAAGGCTTTAAGAACTAACTATGCATCTCAACTTAAGACAAATACTAAGTTAAGCCAATAAGACTGTCAGATCGGCCAACTCTGACCGTCATTCTTTAGCATGCCTTTGCCAAACAGACATCCTGACTGAGTGGGGGGCCAATGCCAAGGCCATCATGACTTTCAAGTATATATATATATATACATGTGTGTCTGCGCTGCAAAAACAACGAACAATTTGAGTGTTTTGACAGCTTTCAAGCCAAATTCTTTCGCGGTCGTGGTCCACACCACGACTGAAGTATTTAGAAGTTCTGGGTCGTCAATGGGAAAAACAAGAATTCACCAAGGCAGACCAGGCAAACCCAAGACCTCCCTGTGTCTGCGCCTGTCCTTGTGTCTGGGCCTGTGTCTCTAGGCCCGTGCGCGTTGCGCCAGTTTTGTGCGTTTGGTGTTGCGCAGTGTGTGGGTGCGCGCGCTGCCAGTTGAATCTTGTGTCTTGTGCGTGTGTGTGTGTGTGTGTGTTTTGCGTTGCGTTTTGTGTGCGAGTTTGTGGCCTGTGTTGCGTAAAGAGTTCTTCGCGTAGTTGATTTGCGTGCTGCAGAGTTCGGTGTGGGGCGTCTCAAGCAGACTGCGCGTGCGCAGCGATATGTTACGGTTGTTGTCACTGCTGCTTCGTTGTCATTGTCATTGTCGTTTTTGGCCTCTGCTGTTGCTGCTGCATACGTCACAGCTCTTGCAACTGGTGAGTCAAGCTGCTGCTTGGTTTTCTTGCTGCAGACGCTGGCGCTGGTCCGCTGCTGGAATTCCGTAAGGCTGTGCGTCCACCAAGCATCCAACAAAACAAACGTTTCCATGAAGCAGAAGCACCCTCGCTTTTGTAACAAGTGCGCGCCACGCCCTAGCGGTTCTTGCAAAGGCTATCTTGCCACCCACGTGCAGCGAGAATAGTTTTCAAGCTTGAGCACCGAGCCTTGCTCGCAAGCTTTCAAGGCAATGCCGAAGGAGCCCACGTTTGGACCTCAGAAAAGTTGAGCGAGATAGCTCAGTTCGTGCTGCTGGCACAGTGACTGCACTCCTGGCCTGCCTGTCCAGGGTCAAGCATTCATAAGAAGTCACATGCACTGCTGCATGGCCGTGTATTTGTTAGAACGGCCGAACTGTTGCTTGCAATAAAGACTTGCTGGCGCTCGCGCGAATCTATTTTGGGTCTGCGTGCAAGAAAGCCAAGAAGAGCACACACTGCGCACGGCTCCAGGAAGGAAGCCGGCAAAGCAGAACTCGCAAAGCTGCGGCTTTTTGCAGCTCTGATGCAGGTTGCTCTCAGAGCTCGTCTTCTGCCGCGCCATCCTCGTCCTCATCCATCTCAGGGAATTCCTGACGCTGCAGTGGCGCGTGGCGAGCGCGGCGCGCCTTCCATGTCACGCCTCACACGTGGGCCTTGTGTGGAACTACTCTTTGAAAAGCGCCCATGCACTAGCGATGCAACTCGGAAAGCAGAAGCCTAGATGACAGCGTGACGCCAGGGCCCTCAGCAAGACGCCTGTTGGCAAATTTTGAAAGGCTCCGCCGTTGCGCGCGCTACCTATCATCAGCACAACTGCAAGCCGCTGATGCACCGTTGGCCTTGCACACAGCCTGCAGCTTTCGAGGGCTTGGTATCTGATTTAGTCACTGGTCCACTGGTCTACAAAGGGTAGGAAGTAGGGTTTGGTCAATTACTCCTGAGCTGGCGTTCAAGAAAGGTGCGCTCCCGAACCGCTGATTTTGCTGGCACATCGCTTTGAAAGAACATGGTTCCAAAACGAATCTGACTTAGAGACACTTCATGTACCCAAGTGCAAGGAAGAACAACAACAGTTAGACAATGCTAGAAGCCTGGTGAGCATCCCTTACACCTTTGCCGCGGATATGCCATCCCTGACAAAGCAACTTTAAGCGCCGCCTCGCTCCAAGAAATTCCTGCGTCGTTTCAATGACTTACTTGACGTTCTTGGCGTGCCGCGAATCCAATGCACGGCACGCCCGGCCAGGAAGGTTTCCCTGGAGTGAAAGCTTTGGGGGCCTTGACTACCCATAATCCCTTCCCCCCCAATGCTAAGCGGCCCTCTTCCCCAAATACTAAGTGGGTCCTTCTGGGGAAAAACCGGTTTTAGCAGGGCCCCCCGTGTTCCCGGAGCTCCGGCGCGAAAGTCGCAACTTTGCAGTACAGCCGTAGTAAAGGAAACGTACTCCCGGAGCTCCGGCTCAAAAGTCGCAAATTTGTAGGCCTTCGTGCAAGAGCGTGGCGTTTGTTCCGCGGAAAATGCAGGGTCACCGAAACAGTGCCAACACCTCCAAATGAAAGCATGGAATCGTAACTCCACTGAATTCGTCCGTTTGCAGAACTGCTTTGGAGCCAAGCAATGCGAGGTAAAAATGTCAGATATTGAGAGCGCAAAGGACAACATGTAGCGATATTGTGGGTGGCGCACCATGTGCAGCCAATGTAAAAATCATGTTTTTTTTGGCCAGGGATATGGGGCCAAAGGCCTTGAAAAGGCGTGGATACTTACCATGGACACTTCCGGGTTTACAAAACAAGGCCTCTTGACAAATCAACGCCTCTTTCCAGAGGCCTTCCTTAGATAGGCCTTTTGAAGCGCAGGGGTAGCAACAAAAAACGTACTCCTGGAGCCCCGGCTCGAAAGTCGCAACTTTTGTAGTACGAGCCTAGTACGAGCCTAGCAGAGGGACGTACCCCCCTGTCTGCGTGGGTTTGTCTCGTTTCGGGGAGGCAGGCCAGGCAGGGAAATTTTCCTGGGTCCTCCGTCTCCGGGTTATTTCAGTTTTTTGCGTTCTCCGGGTTTTTCCAGGAGACCCTCTGAACTGGGAGTCTCAGGTGTTTCAAATGCATGAATCAAAAAGCAGGAGTGGCTTGCAACGAGTGAACATCAAACACTAGGAGTGGTCCTTGCGGGAAACAATTGGAAACAAGTCTTCTTGTTTTTTTCTTCTTCTTCTTTTTGCATTGTTTGGGCCCGCAAGTGTACAACTCCGTGCACGATCCCAGCAATTGTGCAACTCTGCGCGCTCGAGTGGGTATTCCACTGATTTTACTATGCACACTCCAGAAACTGCGTCTTTCTTTGATTTGCGGGAGTTTGCGGGTTTTTGTGGGAGTTTGCGGGCTTTTTGCAGGTGTTTTGCGCTGAGTTTCAGGTGTGGTGCTTTCCGGTTTTGCCAATTTGTCGCCCAAACACAAGAATTGCAAATTCTGAATAATTCTGAATTCTGAAAAAGTGATTCTGATTCAAGTGAACCATTCTGATTCAGAACATGCCTGATTTGGAGAGCCCCTTCCGTCAAGTACCGAATAATTGCGACTTCTAGGGGTTCCAGAAGCGACAATCAATTTCTAGGAGTTTTACCTCAAGAGCCAGGAGTTTGAAAAGTCTCCGGATTTTACGTGAGATTTCCATGATTTGGAAGATTTAGGCTATATACTAAGAACCACAGGCTTTAATACTAGAACCCTCCAGCACAAGGCGAGGAATCCCAGGGGAGGCAGGCCAGGTACCCAAGCCAGCTACCCGTTTCTATGAAGAGCCCTCAATTAATAAATATGGCTTGAAGGATTGAAGGTGCAAAAAGGGGTCCCTAACAGGGCTGAATTTCGGCGCGGGGAAAATACCTACTTTAGAATTGGTTTAGTGTTGGCTATTCCCGGATTTAGCATTTTCAAAAGTCGGTTTTAGTATTAGGGGACTGTTTGGCATAGGGAGAAGGGATTAGACCAAAACTAGGAACCACATGGCCAAAGGTCGGCCTTAAACACGCGGGCAGGGCCCAGCCTCACATTCCCAAACCTCGAGGATGGCAGGGAAGCCCGGGGCACCGCTGGAGGTCCGACATTAACTGGCACCCTGACTTGCGCAACCAGAAACACCCATCAACAGTTGTGTCCAAAGCGTTTGCCGTTCTGCCGCTCAGGCACGTCGTCAGGACAAAGCCCCGTGGCACGGTAGCAAACCCATCCTCAGGTCGATGGACAGCGGCACGGAAGGAAACGACAAGGAGAACGTGAACTTGGCCAGACTTAGGCCCCCTGCAATGACAAAGACTGTCTGCTGCTCGAAACGGACATGCAGGAAGTGAAGACAGCTTGATTAAATTCTGGCGATGTGAACGGCCTCCCCGAAAGCAAATATCCCAATTCACCCGCAATCAGCTAGCAAATGTGATATTCATTTGACGGCGAAAACGCATTCTCCCTGGTGAACCACTTAGCTGCCAGTTTGGCAGCGAGGGGGGTCGTTTTCAAATCCATTGGATCGCTACTTGCCACAAAAGCCGGCAACAAACGCTTCTGGTTGCCATGAAAACCAGTGGCCTACCAATAGGAAGTAGCAAAGGTTCAGCGCTTTGATACAGGTCTACTTTGGCTTAATGGAAAAAACGTCGGAAGCATTGAGCCAACTTCAGAAGCAGCAGCCTCAGCGGCTGTAAGCACACATGTGCCAGCATAGCTCAATCCCGAGCGGCAGCCAAAGCACAACCGCAGCCGCAGCTTCGCAATCACCACATCAATCTGAGTTTCTCAATGTTCATATGTGTTCCCTGCAAACATCCTCCTGCCAACGGGAAAGTTACTTTGCCCTACAGCTGACGAATCAACAGGGACCCTGCAGGGACCACCGGCGCAGGCACGGTCCCATGCTGGCCGAAGCTGAGTAAAGTGCGGCTGAGGTGCTGTCAGTGAAGGCCAGGCTCACCCGAAACTCATCGACGGCTTCAGTGAACCTGGGATGCTCCGGGGAACGTGCCATCAGATCTCCACAACTTTCAAAGCTTGCCCGTTTCAAGAGCATGCCGAGGGATATTCGTGCAACAAAGGGTCTGCAAACAGCAAGTAGAGGAGAAACATGTTCGGGACTAGGCAACCTTGAGACGTGATCCGGAGAAGCTCCCGGAGAATGTGATTGGCGACCCGAATCCCGAATCCCGAATCCCGAATCCCGAGTCCCAACTCCGGGCCGCTGAGGACCCAGGCACCCAATCCCGAATCCCGAATCCCGAATCCCGAATCCCGAATCCCGAATCCCGAATCCCAACTCCGGGCCGTTGAGGACCCAGGCACCCAATCCCGAATCCCGAATCCCGAATCCCGAATTCCCGAATCCCGAATCCCAATTCCGGGCCGTTGAGGACCCAGGCACCCAATCCCGAGTCCCGAATCCCGAATCCCGAATCCCGAATCCCGAATTCCCATTCCGAGCCCTCGGCTCTCGGACAGCCAATCCCGAATCCCGAATCCCGAATCCCGAATCCCGAATCCCGAATCCCGAATCTCGAATCCCGAATCTCAACTCCGAATCCCGAATCCCGAATCCCGAATCCCGAATCCCGAATCCCAACCCCGGGCCGTTGAGGACACAGGCACCCAATCCCGAATCCCGAATCCCGAATCCCGAATCCCGAATCCCGAATCCCGAATCCCGAATTCCCATTCCGAGCCCTCGGCTCTCGGACAGCCAATCCCGAATCCCGAATCCCGAATCCCAACTCCGGGCCATTGAGGACCCAGGCACCCAATCCCGAATCCCGAATCCCGAATCCCGAATCTCGAATCCCGAATCTCAACTCCGGGCCGCTGAGGACCCAGGCACCCAATTCCGAATCCCGAATCCCGAATGCCGAATCCCGAATCCCGAATCCCGAACCCCAACTCCGGGCCGTTGAGGAATCCCGAATCCCGAATCCCGAATCCCGAAGTCCCGAATCCAATCCCGAATCCCGAAATCCCAAATCCCGAATCCCGAATTCCCATTCCGAGCCCTCGGCCCTCGGACAGCCAATTGGCGGGCTGCGTTCCGCCCAACCCCCCCGCCTCTGTTTGGCGGAGCTGCGCCCCCCCCCCCCAACCCCCCCCGCCTCTGTTTGCCGGAGCCCGGCGTTCTTCGTCGTTCTTGTTTGGAGATTCATTCTCCGGCCTTTTCCTAGGCGTTTTAGTTTCCTGGTAGTTTTGGGCGTGCTGGGCGT